ATCACCTAAGTCCAGGAGCTGGAGGTTGCTGTGAGCTGTGAGGGCAATAAAGTGAGACTCCGTCTCTAAAAAAAAAATACAGTTCCTCATGTTGTGGTGACCTCCAACCACAAAATTATTTTCGTTGCTACTTCATAACCGTAATTTTGCTACTGTTATGAATCATAATGTAAATATCTGATATGCAGGATGTATTTTCATTGTTACAAAGGGGTCATGACCCTTGAGAACCACTGGTCTAGTGCAAGTGTCCTTAAGCATTTTTTTCCTTCTGGGTAGATGCCCAGTAATGGGACTGCAGGATCAAATGGGAGGTCTAGCTTGAGTTCTTTGAGGTTCTCCATACTTCCATTAGGCCTAGTGGGCCTAGGCTAAAGCAGAAAAGTGTCAGGCCTAGGTTATAATGGAAAAATATCAGTTAACTCCTGGCAAATTTCTGGACTGCAATCTTTAAAAAGAAATGAAAAAAGTCTAGTTCACCCCCAAGATAAATGAGAAAGTACTAATTGATTTCTTGCCTCCAGTTCACTCCCAATTTCTTGCTTGGCTAACTCCATGGGAAACGAACTGACTGTCTCTGGACTAACCTTTAGACAATACCAGGTGGAGAAAATACTGAGACAAAGATGTATGGGGGAAAGATGCATGACGTATAGCTAACTAACCGCAAAATTCTGCCTCTGTACAATGCTTGCTTGTTATCCTACCCAGATGCACCTGCACAGCCTACGTGCCAACCGGGAGGCAGACCAGACTTAAAAACCCAACCTCTTAAGCACTCTGGGCTACTCTCAGAGCCCCCATGTTGGGACACTGAGGCAGTTGCTGGCTGGCTCTTCAATAGAAGGACTCCTCTGTAAATTTAACTCGTTTGACAGAGTGCGCACTCTTGTGCACAACACTTTCTTCCAAAAGGTCACATTAGTTTGCAGTCCCACCAGCAGTGTAGAAGTGTTGCTTTCTCTCCACATCCACACCAGCATCTACAGTTTTGTGATTTTGTAATGTGGGCCATTCTCACTAGGGTTAGATGATATCTCAGGATGGTTTTGAGTTGCATTTCTCTAATAATTAGGGATGATGAGCATTTTTTCATATGTTTGCTAGTCATTCATCTGTCCTCTTTAGAGAAGGTTCTATTCATGTCTCTTGCCCATTGATGGATGGGGTTGGGGGTGTTGGCTTTCTTCATATGGACTAATTTGAGTTCTCTATAGATCCTAGCTATCAAGCTTTTGTCTGATACATAATATGCAAATATTCTTTCCCACTGAGTAGGTTGTCTATTTGTTTTGGTTGTTGTCTCCTTAGCTATACAGAAGCTTTTCAGTCTCATTAAGTCCCATTTGTTTATTTTTGTTGTTATTGCAAATGCCACATGCAAATGCATTTCAAAGAGGGCAGTTTATAGCAACATATGCCTACATCAAGGCACTGGCCACATACACCAAGGGTGGTGGGTTCAAACCCAGCCCAGGCCAGCTAAAAAAAAAATGAACAAACTAAGCCCAAAGTTAGCAAAAAGAAGGAAATAATAAATATCAGAGTAGAAATAAATGAAATAGATTAAAAGAATACAAAATATCAACAAAATTACTAGCACTTTTTTTTTTCTTTTTTAGAGTCTCACTTTTTTGACCTGGGTAGAATGCTGTAGCATCAGCTTAGCTCACAGCAACCTCACACTGCTGGGTTGAAGTGATCCTCCTGCCTCAGCCTCCCAAGTAGCCAGGACTACAGGTAAATGCCACAATGCCTGGCTAATTTTACTATTTTTAGTAGAGATGGGGGGTCTTCCTCTTGCTGAAGCTGGTCTCAAACTCCTTAGCTCAAGAGATCCTCCTGTCTCAGTCTCCCAGAGTGCTAGGATTGCAGACTTTGACCATCATACCCTGTCTAATAATTCACTGTCTTATAAGATAAAATTGGCACAACTTTGGCTAGACTAAGAAAAAAAAAGAAGACACAAATAAAAGTTAGAAATGACAGAAGAGATATTATAACTGGTACTATAGCAAGAAAAAAACAGAATCATAAAAGACTACTATGAACAACTATATGCCAACAAATTGGATAACCTACAAAAAAATGGATAAATTCCTATACACATACTACCTAACAAAACTGAATCATGGGCCACAGGCACTGTGGCTCATGCCTGTCCTAGCATTCTGGGAGGCCGAGGTGGGTGGATTGCCTAAACTCCTGGATTCAAGATCAGCCTGAGCCACAGTGAGACCCTGTCTCAAAATAGCCAGGTGTTGTGGCAGGCACCTATAGTCGCAGCTACTTGGGAGGTTGAGACAAGAGAATTGCTTGAGCCCAGGAGTTTGAGGTTGCTGTGAGCTGTGATGCCACAGCACTCTATCAAGGGTGACAAAGTGCGACTCTGTCTCAAAAAAAAAAAGAAAGGCTCGGCGCCTGTGGCTCAAGCGGCTAAG